TTTTGGTGGCGAAAAGTATGTGATTCACAACATTTGCTTACAATCAATAATTGGTCACAAATTCCTGTTGGCCTCACATTCACTGAACACGACTTTTAAAAATGATGTTTTCATCTGTTGTTCATTAAAATTAAAAACTTTTCGACGACTGACTGACGACCGGACTGTCAATGAGAGAAATACACTCAACACTACAATCATTGCTATTAATTAATGAATGGGTCACTCGTCGGGCGTATGACCTCAAAAGCACAACATTTGAATTTAACAAATTATGAAATGTTTAAAATTAGCATTTTATTTAAATACTTCCATTTGAATTATCAACATATACAATAATTTACTAATTTCTAACCCATAAAACCCTAATAAACTAAAATTGTTTTGTCTGAATATTAATGCATACATTAATATAATTTAAACAATATCCTGATCATTTTAGTTATTTCAAATAACTTATTTGAATACTGTGTTAATGTAGGCGACAATAAAATGTCATTAAATTGAATTTGTTATACAATATATCTCTTCCCTTCTCTTTTCCAAAAGCTATTTATATAATGTTTTGAACACAATATTCACGCTTTTCATTACCATATAATTTAGGATTTAATTATAAAAATTGTAAATAAACTGAAAGTATTGTTTGCAATCAATTTGTTTGAATTAATCGCGATAACCATATATTGTACACAAAACCGTCATTTATATCAATTGTGTGTTTATTATTACGGAGAATAAGTTTTACTATTTATTTATATTTAAATGTCACTTGAATTTAGCATTTGTTAGGATTATAATAGAGAGGAAATTGACTTATTTTTGTACTCCAATTCTTACTTAACTTTCATAATAAATATTTGCCTCTATTTTTATAATACGATTACAAATTCAAGAGTGTTTTCTTCACTAAAATGCAATGCTTTTTGCAATTTATATCATATTTTAATACTACTTAAGTTTTATTCATGTATTTCTTATTTAAAATAAGTTATTTTTTATATTTAAAGCTATAAAATATTTGGTTGAATAGAAAATGCAGAGAAAAACAGCCATAAAAATGTTTTTAACAAAAATATTAAAATATTTTGAGAGCATCAGTGAATTGAAGCAAAAATATTTTAAATTTTAAATTAAAAACTTTCACTTATTTTTATTCAATTCGTGACATTTATTCAAAATGCAAACCTAAATAAGTCTTATCAGAGAAAATGATTTTACATGTGATTAGATAGCAATTTGTCACATGTATTACATTTAAGGCAAGTCTTGAAATGACACAAAAACATTATTAAGAATTCTCTTCTCCTTCTTCGGAGTCTTTTCACAGATTTAACGCCTAATTCTCTGATCATTGGATTTGCGGATCCCATCAAACAATACTTCAAATGCCAACCACTTTGAAATATTGAGATATAAGAGTTGAATAATGTTTGTGTCATTCATTTGTCTCTTTGAGAGAGAGAGAGAGAGAGAGAGAGAAGGCTGTAATGCTGTCACTCGAGTGGCAGAGTTTTGACAATTATTAGCTGCCGAACCCCCGGCACCGGACAGACAGATGATGTGTCGCTTATTTAAGAGATTAAAATGTAAAAGAATGGTCTGAAATATTTGTTAGTCTTTATGACCGAAACAAAAATTATTGAAGAGTTAAATAAGGAAAGAGAGAGAGAGAGAGAGAGAGAGAGAGAGAGAGCGATCAAATTAAAATATGTTTGCCTTAGAGTCTGATTTCAATTAGATTTGAGTCTTGAATCAGTTTTTAAATAATTAATGTTTACATCGATTCCCAAAAGATGTGCTCAACGTTTGCATAAAGTTTTCGTTTCCTTTTACAATGATTTGTCACAATTTTCTGGTGAATGTATTTCTGTTTTATTTAGTCTATAATTAAGTTTAGCACTGATTCTAAAAATTCTCATTTGCATTCAAACAACACTACATTTTTAAACCCTTTCTTTCTCTCCCCTTCTGACTGACAGCTCTAATACAAAACTTATGTTTTAAATGGGATTTTAATGCTAGGTTTTCCTTAACTAACAGTCCATATATTGATTAATAATGTACTGAATGGAGATGTCATTGAATAGTCTGGTCATTACCGGCACTTCTGGTGACAAACCCTTTCCTCGTCTCTCTCTCTCTCTCTCTCTCTCTCTCTCTCTGCTTTTAACTTTTCAGTATAAATGTAGTAAACTTTTTGGACTGAAGTTTGTCCAGAATTTTATGGAAAACATAGTTTAACTTTATTAGCATTTATTTGAGATAACATTTTATTTGCTGCACATTTCGACTCAATTGACTATCTTTTAAATTGCATACAAAATGTTATTTGTTTTTGAATTCCAATAAAAGCCTTTTTTGTCGCCAGAATATAGTCTCCAAATATATATAAACTCTTTTCGGATATAAATTATTCATTGGAAAGAATGGTCTGAAATATTTGTTAGTCTTTATGACCGAAACAAAAATTATTGAAGAGTTAAATAAGGAGAGAGAGAGAGAGAGAGAGAGAGGCAATTAAAACACAACCAGCCTTTTAGTACACATTGAAGTTTATGGGCACTCATTGAATGAAATATATAAATAAAATAGTGAAATAAATTCAATCCATAGATAAAAGTTTCCCATTTTGGCAGTCATTGGCATTAGTGTTGCATTTTCTCTCTCCCTCTCAGAGCTTAGCTTTGAATTAAATATTTATTATATAAGAAATTATGGACAGAAGAGTCGATTCGCACCGAAAATGAATTAAATAAAAGGTCATAATTTGTGGCGCTTGTCTTCTCTGGCCGTCAATTCTTCAATGACTTGAATCATAAATTTTCGGATATATTTCTCACCGAAAACAACAACCGAAGCGATTGAATGGATGGGAAGGCAAAGAATTTCTCAATCCATTCATTATTGAGTGCATCAAAAAATCTCAGCCATTGTTTTGGTATGAATTAAACATTTCATGATTTTGTGATTTTCTCTGGTATTCGAGACGAGAAAAAAGGAGAGAAATAAAGAAAAAAGTGTTAAAAAACAGATATGAATGCGATATACGAGACATAAAGTGTCCTTTTGTTGTCAGCGATAGAAACAGTGCTAACTATCATATAATTGAAATTTACAATAGATTTCCGCATTTCTTTCGCCGCAATACTTCATAATTGTAGTCATAATAACAGCATTAATATTAAATAAACTAATTATCAGCTCATTATTTGTTAACTGAAACCCAACCAAAAATGTTATTAAAGAAAATAAATATGAAAATTAACTGCACTTCACATTACTGTTTGCGCTAACAATTGCTAAATAAACGGTCTCTCAAACAAAACAACTCTAATTTCAAAAAACAAAACAATCAAATGAAAAAACTTGAATTCAAAAGTATCCAAAAGAAACTCAATAACAAACAAAATTAATCGTTTTTAAAGTAAAAAACTTTTTTTAATAAGCAATTTGTTGAGTAGCAGTTCATTCATAGTTCGTTGACTTCTCTCTCATTAAACGACAGACGAGTTTCTCTCTCTCTCTCTCTCTCTCTCTCTCTCTCTCTCTCTCTTCAGTGCCTTTTCGGTCGAAAAACGTGTTTTCGAGTTCTCTCTCAATATATGATAGATTTGACACAAAAGTCAAAGAAATAAAAGAGAAGAGAAAGAACTCCTATTATGCACTGAAGACAAGAATTTTGCTTTTTTCTCCTCGAAGGCTGATTGAGGGGTAGAGGAGTAGTGAACGTATGGTTTCATCGGTAGACCTCTCACTGCTTTCTAACTATTAGATGGTATTTCTTCGCTCTTTAGATCATAACTTTTGTTTGTCTGTTATCTTTCACTCCCTCTTTCCCTCTCTCTCCGGCTTTTCCAGCAAAAAAAACCACAACAAAAAATATATACAGATATTTCCCGTTTGTGCGGCAATAATATCAGTATTAAAAAATTCACGTAAAATATTTAAAAATGCAATAAATATTTTCTTTGCTGGCCGTCACAGACACTCACTCTCTCATACATACCTTCCCATTAAACATATTTGAGTTTTGACTATAATTTTTGGGTTTGTTTTGTTGATAAACTTCCGCGAAGTTGTTTTCTCGCGAAGAAGTTGTTTTCATTTGCCATAAGAAAAAACTTTTCTTCCTTTCATTTTAATACAAGTTTGTCTCTCAAAGAGTGTGTTTTGTATATGTTTTGCATGTGTTTTAACTCCGTATTTACGATCAGTGAGTGATTAAACACTTTTACGGATGAATTTTTCTGTGCCTTTAATTAGTGTTTCAATTTGTGTCTCTATTTGTATGTGAATGCCATTGAAATCGTCCCATAAATACCCCATTTGTGTGTATATTTTCATTGTCACTGATATGAGAGTTAAACGCCGTTAACCGTCGATATAATCTTAATATGTATTTTTAGATACAATGTTAATGTACTGCAGAGGAGGACATATCATCAGCAGTCGATGGTATCAGCGATGATATGTATTGACCCGTCGTTTCCAGAAGTATGATTGGCTTTTCAGACAATGCCTTTCGTGATCATTAGCTGTCCATTTGTCAAACAATACGATAACTATTTGCTTGCTTTGGATCAATGATTTCCAACATATATTGTTGACAAAACCTATTCGCTATTATCATGTGTTTTTCAGATGTCTTTTCCGATAAACTCATAACAGAGACACAGAGAAAGACCAAAAAGTTTCTAAGAGTTTGTATTCAAATCTAATATAATGTGATCTTTTTTTGGGCAGTGATTATTGTGTGCATAACTTATCTTAACTCATATTCACAGTTATTTTCAACACAAATATGCGATATTTTACTTATCAAATCGATATTCATTTATCTATCGGTATATAAGCGATGGACAGATATTTTATATTTATTTATTAATATTTTAGTTTAAATTATTTATTTTAATTTATTGTTATTTTAAAAAACCCGAGACATGAATAACTTAAGTAAATCTACAAAACATTTAAAAATCGCCGCATTTTTAATAGTTTTGTTGCCATTAATCGCAACAAAACAAATCAATTTCGACAAAACCACAAATTCAATCGATGGAAATGCTATCAAAGAGTCCAACCGACCCGTCGTCGATACCGGGGCCGCCACTGCCGGCAATCACGGCTTTCTCATGGACTTACTCTCCAATGGCTTTCGTTTAATGAATTTGCGAAAAGTTGTCAAAGAAGTACAATCGGGTAAATCTTCCGGTAGTAGCGCCTGTATGTCCTGTAAGTTTGGGTTCGCAATGGCTCAGCAACTCATCCAATTCGGCAAAACAAAAGATGAATTGGCATCCATTGCTAACTACCTGTGCAAATCTCTAGACCTCCAGAGCCCCCGAGTATGCGACGGAATGGTCGACCAGTTTAAGGTATGTCTCTTTCCCCCCTCTGTATGTATGTCCGTCTGTCTGACACTAACTCCAGATCTCACGCCAAACCATATTTGTGCCATAAATTTACAGATTATGCAAACAATTGCGATAATATTATTATTATTATTCAAACACTCCATACATACAAGTTATCTAACATTATATATATTGTCATTTCCTATCTCTATCTTACAATAAATTACACATTTTATGATATGTTTTCCCATGAATTGAATTACAATATTCTGTTTGTCGAAACACTTGAGTTTTACAATTGTTTTTTGCATATAAGTTAGTTTTGCCAATCAATACAGAAATCCTTGTCTCAAGTGTTTTGTAAATTTCAATTATTAAGAGTGTATTTCTCTCTTATATGCATTCAAATAAATAATAAGTACTTCAATAAAAAGTCAATTTCATTAAATTAATTGAATCCAAAGGCAAACAAATAAAACTTTATACTTTGCTTTCTATTACACCTATAAATCAATTATCATTTATAAGTTTGCAATAATAATAAGAAATAAAAAACTCAGTACAGAGTAAACAACGAGACAATTGATGTCCAATTTCACGGCCATTGATTTCAAACGAGTAAAAAACATAAACCCATTGTAAAAATTGAATTCCGATATACCGTCTAATAGTCTAACGGCGCTCTCAAATAGGCTTTATATATGTTTGAGACCTATCGGAGCGGAAACGATGACTTAAGACATCTTATGGCTGTCTCTGTATTATTGCCCGACTCTAATGCATGGCTTTTACATAAGTCTTATTTATTTATAACTAATACTCGACGATATGTTTTTGGGATATGTTTTTGTCATTTAGGATGAATTCTTGACAGTTATACCGAAAATCAATTTAAGTCCAAACGAGATGTGCGGCTCTCTATTGGGAGAGTCGTGCTCTCGAGTCTACAATCCGCTGTACAACTGGACGCTACCCTTCACACCAATACCAAAGCCACCCGTCCTCAGCAGCAAACCTCAACTAAAAGTAAATGTCACTCAATTAAACCCAACTCAATGGTTATGATAGCAAAACTATTTAAACAACTAATTTTCTGGTATCCCATAATCTAATCTCAATGTTTTTGTGTCCACTTTAGTCGAGTTCTCCCAAACTAAAAGTGCTTCACTTATCGGATACACACATCGACCCGATGTACGCGGAGGGCGGGGACGCCGTGTGTGGCGAACCCCTGTGCTGTAGGAATGCCTCGTCGGACGTGAGGCCGCAAAATAGGGCCGGTTTTTGGGGCGATTATCGCGACTGCGATATACCGCTCAGGACTCTGGAGGAGACGCTCAGGTTTATCGATAACACCCATCAGGACATTGATTATGTGATTTGGACGGGAGATATACCACCGCATGATGTCTGGAATCAATCACGTGATGGTCAGCTCTCACTCATTAGACTAGTGGCCAAAACTATACACAAATATCTGGGAAATATACCCATATATCCAGTGCTCGGCAATCATGAGTCGGCGCCTATTAACAGGTTTTCAAACCATAGTTTCCTTCAACTTTCTTATCAATATTTCTGATTCTTATAATACTTTTTATTTGATTATTGATTATATTATAACAATATTTAATGAATAAATATTTCATTTGATTTAATGCCAGTTTCCCGACGCCTGACGTGAACGGAGAGCATTCAATCTCATGGCTGTATAACTCACTTGAGGTCCAGATAAACAAACATTGAAATAAATTTCTATTATCTTGTGATTCACTAAAGCATTAATTTAAATATGAAAACAGGATATTTGGTCCCAATGGTTGCCATCGCATACTCTGCCACTAATCAAACAGTAATGCAATTAATAATTAATTTTTTTCAAATGACATTTTCATCCACTATATTGTTTGCGTAGAAATATATTTCATTACTTTTATAGTAATGTTTTATTGACAAAAAGGCTTAGAAAGAGAGTTACATAAAAGTTTGATATGTATTTCAGGGGAGCTTTCTATGCGGTGGTGGCGAAGCCGGGCCTCAAAATCATATCATTGAACATGAATTACTGTAATAACCAAAACTGGTGGCTATTATTGAACGCAACCGATCCCGCGGGTGAACTCCAATGGCTTATACGCGAACTCCAGGCCTCGGAACTCACCGGAGAGAAAGTGAGCGCATAATTCCCCTCCAAATAAAATTTAAATATTCATTAGGCTTTCAGACAAAACACATCTCAATGTTTGCACTCAGACTTCAACACATAATTGAAATTTATGTCTAGAAGTTGTCATTTAAACAAATATATTATTCATCGCATTATATTTCATTATTAATAATGCATTATTTTGTACGATTGTGTTGGCATAGGTGCACATAATCGGGCACATACCACCTGGATCAAACGACTGCCTACAGGTGTGGAGCAAAAACTACAACCGAATCGTGAATCGGTTCGAGTCGACGATCAGCGGCCAGTTCTTCGGTCACACACATCAGGACGAGTTCGAGCTCTTCTACGAGACAACGCCGGCGCCGAGGGCTGGCGTTTACATACGGCCCACAAACGTCGCTTACATCGGGCCCAGCCTTTCGGCCTTCGGTAACGTCAACCCCGGATACAGGATCTACACCATCGACGGCGACCGCGAGAACTCCACGTTTCAAGTGCTCGACTACGAGACCTATTATCTCAATCTCACCGACGCTAACATTCATCGCGACTCAAAGCCCATTGAATACAAGCTCTCGTATTCGGCGCGCGAAGCCTATGGTCTTCAGGATCTGTCGGCCGAGAGTTGGCACCAATTGGTCCTTCGGCTCAATAAAGACCAGCAATTGTTTAGCAAATTTTACGATTACTTCTTCAATCGGAGCGATAATATCGGCGCCGACAACGTGTGCACAACTAAACAGTGTAGACGTGATATACTTTGCCGTCTAATTACCTCTCTATCACATCATAACTACTTTTGCAATAAATTCCTTTAATTTTTATATTTTTCCCCACATTTTGTAAACTATTATATATTTTTTGACACAATATTTTATAATTTATATTTTAAATCAATAATTAATATAATATTTAACTTATTTATTAGAAGAATAAAGTTATTTATTAATAAAAATAACGTTTAAAATATATTAATCTTACCGTTAAAATAATGGATTATTTGGTGACAATTGTTATCAACTAATTAAACCCACAATTATTTAGCAATAATTAAATATTTTTATTTGCAACGAGGCAAAACTACACGCGTTGTATTTGCAATAAATAAAGCATGCAGTAGATTAATAACTTATTAATAATACGTGATTAAACCCAATCTAAAAGCAACAAAGTTATTAAAAAATAATTAAAATGTCAAAAAGTGATAAGAATTTCTATCTATCACTATTTTACTAATAGTTTTATAATTAGTAAATGATAATTAATTGACCAAAAATTTCTGGGATTGTTTATATTTTGCAAAATTAATAAATTGTTATTAATACTTATTATTGCAATATTAATTATTATAATTATAGAATTATAATTATTAATTATTAATAAGTCAATACATATATCCCTTTAATTGCAAAATAATACTAATTGAAGAGACCGGTCTTTGGCTCACAAGTCAGAGCTTTAATCCCATATCAGTTGTAAAATAAGTCAAACCTTCAAAAAATAAAAATAACAATAATTGCAAAACATATTTCATAATATAATTAATTAAAATATTACTAGTTATGC